ATACTCAATTACTAAAATAATGGATAGCTGCAGCCATAGTGCACACCACTCCTGTATTGGTCCAAACACAATGACATCCCCATAGAACTGAGCATGGGATGTCAGTGTGTTTGACATCCCATGCTCAGTTCTAACGCTGAAGGAAGTTTTAAAGATGTTCGGTCTAGACCTGCTCTATTTGAAAAGTGTCCTGAGATAACTTCTGTTATGAATTGGCGCTATACAAATAAAATTGAATTGAATTGAAGTTCTTGAACAGTGTTGGCATGAAATCTGTCAAATATTAAACACATTTGCAAAATTCTGTCATAGAATGTTACATTTTAGAAGATGCAATTTAGAAAATTTGGTCTGATCTAACGTCTGTTGATTGATTTATGGATTTCTTTTCTCTAAATCCAGGAAAATACCTCAAGCCACAGACCTGTCTCCACCTCCCTCTGCCAAGACCATCACTTCCTCGTCTCCCTCTTCCATAGCCGCCACTTCCTCCTCTTCGTTACATTCTAAGGTGCGCACAGGAAGTCATATCAGCTCCTCCCTCAAAACCGCATCCTCCTGCTCCTCCTCTTCCAGTCGTGGTCCAGGGAGACCCCAGATGGCCCTACAATCAGAGAACTCCAGCGGCAGTGGCAGCGGCGTCGGTGGAGGTCACCTGGTGTCTCAGAGTAAGCCTGTGGCGCTGCGTCCAGTGGGTCCCAGCCGACCCAAGAACCCTGTGGGGCGTCCCAGCAAGCAGATGCTGAAGCTACGAGAGGAGGCTGCTGCCGCCGCTGCCCTCCGCAAACGGAAGGCCCCATCCCAAGAAGGGGAGCACTCAGGCCCCGACAGGAACTGCATCGTCCTCCAGGACCGGGGCCGCCCACCTTCTGTTGCCTCTTCCTCCTCCTCATCTTCCTCTTCTAAACCCCCCATTCCCTCTCCTCTCCCACATGGACAGACCAATGGCACGCTTTCCCCCAGCAGCAAACCCCGCCCCCAGCCCTCCCCTTCAGAGTCCCACTCACCAGCCGCCAAGGCAGTCTGGACCTACAGACGAACTCACACTCCTCTGGGCCACTCCTCGCCCCCAGACCTCTCCTCCGCCACCAACAACTCCCACAGCCGGGGCGGCGTGGGGGACTCAGGACTGCACGGGCAAGGCAGCGGGAGGGGCTTTGAGCACCATGGGCTGGTGAAGAAACGCAAGGGGGGCAGCATGGAGGAGCACTCGCCATCCTCCAAACCCTCAGCGCACCGCCTGCCCTCCTCTTCTTCCAGCTCCACCACCACCTCCTCTCCACGCTCTAACTTCTACCCCTGGAAGGATAGTAAAGGTGGGGGGCTGGCTGGGGGCGTGGAGAAGAAACTGGGCACACAGAAGGTGAGTTTGGAGGACAGGAAACATTATTTGATAGTTTAAAGTTGTAGAGCTGACCTAACAACAGCCGCTGTAAAGTTTCTACAGGCCCTGAAGAGGCAGATGGTGAACCCTGCCAATCTGACAAACGCAACACTGATCCTGATTGTTTTTCTTTTCTTACCATCTATTCATGACCTGTGGCTGCTTCCTTTACCTCAACGAAGAAACAAACAGCTAACTGCTTTCCATGCGCGTATGACACAGTTCTATTGTATGTTCCCCAAAATATACTTGAAAAGTCAAATGCAGGTGTAGGCATAAACAAACATTAACCAAGTAGATGTTAGCCTAGGTTAGTCAATTAAGTTATGTTTTGATTATCAAACAATCTTTGGTCCCCATTGGAATACATTGCTAACTGTTGTGAATCTATGTTCTCTACAGCTGCTGTCTTCTGCCACAGGGCAAGCTACAAACTTTTCAGAGCCACCTTTCAAAACAATAGTTGTTAGTAACAGATTGTCTGAGTACAATTATGTTTGGGGAAAAAGATACCTGTTCTAACTAATTTTACATAATGTTTTAAAATATATATATTAGAATTACATGAAAATCAGTCACTATGTCAACATGTGGTTGGTGCTTTGTGGGCTGGTTTTCACATTAGACCCTTCTTAAGCCCCGCCCCTTTTTGGTAGAGCAACCCTCGGTCAGAACCTCGGTCAACTTTCTCCTTTCCTGTACTTAGATTTGCTATGTGCTCGGTTGTTCTGTGTCAAAAAGATCACATTTTGAAGATGATTAAAAGATAAAAGATCTTAATTTAGCAAGTTGACCAAAACACTGGCTAACTAGCTAGATAACATTCAATACTCATTGGCTAGCTACTTACAATTGAAAGCAAATGGTAACACCATGCTGGCTAGATAGCTAATTTTCATCAATTGTTAGTTAGCTAACATTTTGCTAATATTAGCTAACTTAAGATCTAACTATATATACAGACCTGTGACAATTTGAAAGAAAAACCTGAATGAGTGGAGAAACATGCGAATGCTTTCATACATATAGCGTATCTAAATACAGGAAAGGAGAAAGTTGACCGAGGCTTGCTCAACTGTTGTTGGTGCACAGAGCAAAAAGGGGCGGGACTTTAGAATGGTCAGTTGTAACTTGTGAAAACTTCCTGTGCTTCAATTTAATTCAATTTTATTTGTATAGCGCCAATTCATAACAGAAGTTATCACTCTGAGATCTCTTCACTCTGCCCCTGTGCTCAGATTATAAAAAATATTCTTTTGCTATAAACATCTGGTGGGAAAACTTTAGGCAGCCCTGCCCAAAGTTATCTCTCAGCTTAGAGTGGTGTTTCCATGGTAACACTCACAGATGATAGATGGACTGCAATAACTCTGTCTTGAAATATGTTGGGTTTTAAAAAGAACATGTTACTGTTCTTCCACACGGTTACGCTGTTGGAGTTAATAGCAGCTTGAAGCATAATCAGCTATTTTAAATTGAAAGCTAACCAGAATATAAAGTGACTTTGTTATATTTAAAGGTACACTCTCAGATTTTGGTACAGTTCTCCCAAATCTCCAAAATTGACAAAAATTGTCTGGTTTTAAACATGAGCTTAACACAAGGGAAGTGTCTTCTCCAGCCATCTGATTCTTCTTCTGACTTTTCTGACACCATGTATGTCAGGTTGTTTAATTGTACCCAATTTTGTACATTTCTGTAGTGAATATACAAACCAGTTATCAAAATGGAAGTAACAATTTCCAATTTTTCTTTTGTCCCACAGCCAAAACTGCACCATTAAGTGTGCCTGCCTTACAAGCCACTATGAGGGAGCCAGCTCTGCTCAGTCCAAGACTGAGACAACAGGACTCAAGTGTGTGTGTGTGTGTGTGTGTGTGTGTGTGTGTGTGTGTGTGTGTGTGTGTGTGTGTGTGTGTGTGTGTGTGTGTGTGTGTGTGTGTGTGTGTGTGTGTGTGTGTGTGTGTGTGTGTGTGTGTGTGTGTGTGTGTGTGTCTTTTGAGCAAACGCTCAAGTATGTGTGTGTCAGGTTGTGTGTATGTGCAGAGTTGGATCTGTTGGTGTGTGAATCTGTTTGGATGAATGTCTGAGGGAGAACTGGGAGTGGGAGGGTGGGATAAAATTCAGAGTATGGATTTAGAAATACCTCAAGACCATCCGGTTATGCTGCTAAATTAAATATGTTGGTTTATAAAAATGGATTAAAAATGTCCTTTACACTTGGTTTCTGTGGCCCATTTTCTTAACGTTTAGTCAACTCTTAACAGTGTATGACAGTCTCCCAGTAATGTTCTGTCTGCTTGTTCCAACACACTCAATCAGAATCACTTTTATTAGCCAGGTATTTGCACACATACAAAAATTGGTTTTACAATCTAAATGATGCTCACAGTCAGTGAAATGTCTTCTACCTCGTTTTATTCAAAATTTCCCCCAAATTCAGCCTGACATGAACTTTTGGATCCCCAGTAGAACTTAAAATACACATCCACTTTAGGTTTGAACAGTGCCTGGGTACACAACAAGAGAGCACAGAGCCAGGTAGCCTCTGATTGCTTTCGCATCTAGCATGTTCAGGTAATTTGACGCCAGCTGCAACAGCAGTAATTATTTTTAACTGAGAAAAAACAATACAATAGGACATCTCAAAATAAAAACATCTCTGAATGCATCTGAGTTTTGCAGCTTTGACGAGGTTAAAATGATGAACATTAAAGGTGTGTAAACAGTGTGTAGGATTTAGTGGCATCCAGCAGTGTGGTTGCAGATTGCAACTCACTAGCTTCACCCTTCCTTTGCAAGTGTAAGGGAGAAACTACGGTGGCTGTGATTGGCCGATCTAGAGCCAGTGTTTTGTTTTTTGTACTGTAAAGCGTAAACTCAAGTGAAAGGTGACCCGCTCTCTCTGTAGATAAAAACCGCTCATTCTAAGGTAACAAAAACAAACATGAAATAGAAGGGTAAACACAGGCATTATGAATTATGTTGAGGTTCCGTTACACTTGGTATAGAAGTCTTTCCAGTGAGCCAACATCCACAATAGCAGAACCTTGGCTGTTAAAACCTAAATTTGTGTCATTGGTAACACCTGTGTTTATCCTATTGTGTCAAAATGGCTGCTGTGATAAAGGTCTATGCAAAACAGTGGCAAGCACAACATACTAAAAAAAAGGGAGGGGGGGGGGGTCATAACATACTAAAGAAGGAATGTTCTTTTAGGATAGTGATGATAGTAACTGGTGTTTTTTTTAAGCCCTTTGATACTGGAGAACATAAAATGTGTACTTTAAATATAGTCTTCACATTCAACCTCTGGATGATATGGTGCCCTTTGCCCTGGTTTGCCCCTCATACTGACGGTAAAGTAAGTATTGTTATTAGTGATTATATGTGAGGAGGTAATCAGACCGCCGTCTAACACCAAGCCAGCACTAAAATTAAGCAGGAAACAAGTGAATCATCTCACTTCTCACACTCTTCGGCAGATTCCAACCAGGAAGTGAAACCAAAACAAAAGCCGTCAGTAGAGAGAGTTGGTGGTTCACGAGCATTATGATTTAGTAACACTTTCATCGCCTGTGGCACTGCTGGGGCTGGGGCTGGGGCTGGGGCTGGGGCTTTGCTTTCAGAAGATGTGGCGGGAGATGCTCTAGCCGGTAGTGTATGAAACCGGAGGAGGGACCGCACAGTCTCCGCCGCCGCTGCTGCTGCTGCGGTCTCTGCCTGTGACACTGCGACGACCTACTTTTTAATCCATAGTCGGACCGCACTTGCTGCGGAGGGATTACAGCCCGCTCTATTTGTTGTCGTCAAGTCGGCGCAAATTGGCCGACATTACAACAGGAAGTTAATAGATTTTGAGCCATACAACCAACCCTCTTAAAACAGCCTTGAACTCATTGCACTAAGATTGCCAATCCAAAATGGAGGGACTTTGGGAGACAGAGGTAACCACTAACAGGACAACAGAAATTACATGGCGGAAGGATATTCCCTATATATTTTTTATTGTAATGTTTTATAAATGTAGTCATTTATTACATTCTGACTGTTACTGACTGTTACTGTTACTGACTAGACGTGGAGTTTGAAAAAACTACAAACCGGAAGTACTATGTGTCGTCATTGTGTGTATCTTTAGGTCACGTTCAGCAGCTCGCCCGTCTGCCCGGTGGCTGTCCGGTTCTTCCTCCCTATCTAAATAATTATGGAGCTCGTGCGGTGTCCCCACACAGCACGCGCCGCGGCTCGCCGTTTCAGCGCACCTTTCGCAGCTTCCGGAGTCCGCAGGTAGCCGGGCAGGTGGCTCAACTCAGCGGCGGTATGCGGTCCGATGTGGAGTACAGCCCGGTGGGAGAGGGGCTGGGGATGCGGGAGTACTGGCTCTATGTGTGGCTGCGGAGGGCGGCGGTGGTAGCGGCTCATGTCACCGGTCTGGGCCTGACCCTCATCATCTCCCTGCTGTCCAGACCCGGAACCAGTGAGTGGATCTATGGATACAGATTTCATCACTCATATTCATCTACCGTAACATTTTCATTGAGATGGTTATCTTGTTGTTCAATGGCTTTACATTGTACCAATTGCTTTTAATTAATTTATTTGTATTTATTCATTTAAAAAAAAAAGTATTCTCCTCCTAATAACGTTGTGGAGATAAAGTGTGGCATTTAATGCTTCAGAAGAGATTTATTGCAGGTGGACTTAGGGGCGGAGCCAGATGATGGGAACATTTGGGGGCGGGGCTTAGACAAAAGGGCTCAGGGGACATGTTCTATCATGCACTTATTCCCAAAGTGCTATACAAATTAAAGTGTACGGAGTCTATAGCAAATTGAAGACATTGAAATGGTAGAGAAAAGAAACATTAAATCTGCAGTAGGTAACTTTCTGTCATATTCACTGAAACTTTCACTATATCCTGACAGTAGAACATGGGACGGATCATCTGTGAAACAATCAGGTTCCTCTGGCTCCTCCTAGAGCTCCTGATGGTATCTGCAAGAATCCACCGGGCCTGAACCAAAACAACCAATCAGAGCTGAGAAATATAGTTGGGTCTCCTTCCCAGGGCATCAAACACAGTCCAACCCAAAGTGTTTTTCTATCTTTCTCGGCTCTGGTTGGTCTGTCAGGATATAGTGAAAGTTTCAGAAAATGTGATAAAAAGTTATTTGTATAAAAACTACCTACTGCAGCTTTAACACTAGTAAATGGTAATGAAAGAAAGAATATTATTGTTAGCCATTATCAAATATTTGCATAAATGTAAAACAGAAACAATAAAAACATAAAAGATTATAATTTGCTAAAACCAGCTAAGAAAAAGCAAGAGCCATTGAAAATCTAAATGTCTTGAGTTTTGTCTTAAATGTGTCAGTGGAAGGGCAGTGTTTGAGTGAAAGCACAAGGCTATTCTGACGCTCTGGAGCTGGCTCGATCTCCCTTACCCGCCAACCTCGATCGTGGAACAGTTTGAAACAGTTGTTCTGAGGATCTAGGAGGCAGTGATGTATAGGGGTGTCTGCCCATGTATGGCTTTAAAAACAAATAAGAGAACCTTAAAATCAGTCTTGAACTCATCATTCTGAAACCATAGCACAACAAATGTTGAGGATGAATTTTCAAATCTCTCTGATGTTTAGTATTTTTATAGGTCCAGCAGTGGTTGGCATTTTGGAGGATCTATTGGCAGAAATAGAATTTAATGTTTTTAACAGATAAACAATTAAACGTCCCGCAGAACTGTTCTGTAGGTCAGTTGGGATGATTAGAGCAGTAAATATTGTCGGATTTAATGTGCAGCCAGCCGTAAATCTGCTCCTTCTGTTTCCTTCAGCTGTGTTATAAGATTCTGGATCATGTGATCATCATTTTGGTTTTAGTTTGCATGCAAGCAATAGAAACTAGGTGGAAAGAATTTTTTCAATTCAATTTTATTGAATAACAGAAGTTATCTCAGGACACTTTTCAAATAGAGCAGGTCTAGACCGAACTCCTTATAACATTATTTACAGAGACCCAACAGTACCACCATGAGCAAGACCTTGGAGACAAGGGCAAGGAAACACTGCCTGTTAAAAGGCAGAAACCTAGGACAGATCCTCCGGCTCTAGGTGGGTGGTCGTCTGTCTCGACCAGTTGGGGTGAGAGAGAGAGAGACAGACAGACAGACAGACAGACAGACAGACAGACAGACAGACAGACAGACAGAGAGACAGACAGCAACTACACTAATAGTAGTGACTGATGGTGATGATGAACATGAACAAGATGATGACGACAATGACAACAACGATGGGGGACAATGAGCAGTGACAATAATAATAATAGTAACTGTAGTAATAATAATATTAATAATAATAATAATAATAACAATAATATCAGTGATATTAGCAACGGCAGTCAAGCAGGACCATGGCAGGAGGCTCCACCAGGATCCATGAGAACCTGCGAGACAAGAACTGAACCTCCCCTACCTCCTGCTCAGATGTGAAGGCACTGTTATCTTTGTGATCATCCAACAGTTTGATGACTGCCATGCATTTTCTTTTGGTGGTTTTGGATTGTAAGATACTTACTGGTGTTTCTCTTTCTTCCAGGTCTGTTTTCTTGGCATCCAGTGTGTATGTCTGTCGCAGTAAGTCCATATATGACTCTCTTATGCACACACACACACACACACACACACACACACACACACACACAAAGGCTCTCACACACACAGTTGTCTGAGGTCCTCTCGAGTTTCAGTTGTCACAGCTTGCACACTCGGTTGTCCTCTCACTTTTTACTCCGACTAACCCTGGCAGTGTTTTGATGTCAGCTGGTGTGTAGCTTACATCAGTCTCTTGACAGTCCTACACATTACTTATGTCACTTTTGGAGACTTTAATTTCCTGGTGACTAACCCTAACCACAACCTTAACTACTACTACTACTACTACCTTTACTACCCCAATTACAGAAGCTGTCCCCAGTTGACTGGTCAATTCCCTTTACTCTGTTTTCTATGTAGAGCTGCAGTGCTGTATGTGTTTAGATGCAGCATTATTTCAGTAAATAAGCAATTAGGGATGCACAATTTGGATTTTTGTCAGCCGATAACCAATAATTACCTGCTCCTTGTGGCCCATACAGATAAGATAACCGATCATTTCACATTTATGTATTTTATGTTAAGATGTTTATAACATGATGTAGGGAGGAAAGATGATGATTTAAAATTGTGTTACAACTAGCAGACTTTGTCCCTCCTCTCAGTATCCTTGTGGGATACGTACGGCAAATTGCAGTTGTGTCGCGGAAACTGTGAAAAACATCCACGTGTTCCCAAACTTTTTCATGTCAAGGAATCCCACAATATATGCACACACTGCCAATCTTTTTGTCTTAAGGGTTCCCCTCTGAAAATTTTTTTATTTTCAGGTTTAAACATAGTAAAGTCTTCATAGTCAATCAATGATCAAATTGGATCATTATAAATTACAAAGACAGTTTTGGTGAGTTTTATTTTGTTTCTGTCCACTTTGAATGAAGCTACAATAATATGATAATATGGGAGGTTAAATGGCTGTTTTTGTCTATGGAGTCTGGTGGAGAGTGATATTACGGCTGTTTCTTGTTAAACTAAAGGTCTATCTCTGTAGGGATCCTTTCCATAAGGTTGTCAGACACGGAGTCTGTCAGTGGCAACAACAACTGTTAGTGGACTTAAATTGACGGGCGCATTTGTCCCTAAGGAATAATGTTACATTGCGTCCAGCTCTTTCCAGTAAATGAAGGGTTTATTTTGACCAAACCATGGTGGTAATTGTTGAAAAGACTGTGGAAAGACTAAAAAATACATTTTTTGGTGAGTTTTTGTTTCTGTCCAGTTTGAATATATTATCTACTGGGTAAAAATACTGGTTTCGCCGTAGAGCCCATTGTTTTGGTCTGAGATGCTCGTGCTTTAGTCAAGTGGCAAGTGAATTTTGTAACCTTTAAAGATGAACATATTACTACAGGCACGTCTTTCAGTCAGTATAAAGCTAGGAAGGTAAGACAGTAATCATGTGATACCCGGTCCTGTGTTGACACAAACAGATCATGTGTGAAAACAGGTGTGATTTTAATGAGTATTTCTTCAGTTGAAAATGAACTCTCCTATAAGCACTTGGCGTACCTTTACATTCACGCCCTCTGGTCTCTGTGTCTCCTTCTTTCCACTGTGAATAATAGATGGGAGGGAGTGCTGACACTAATGACTGCGTTGCATCACTGCGTCACATATTGTGTTACAAACTGACCTAGAATAAGCTACTGAAATGGCTCACAGGTTGGTGTTGGGGTGTTCTCTGTCATGCCTTGTGGCAGTACGGCGTGATGAGTCGGTCGTGATGCGTCATCACAGTCCGTCAGCCGTGATAAGTTACTGTGCAAACATCATGCCTCCCCCGTCAGGAACAACTCTCCCCTTTGAGCTGTTAATCTGTGATTGATGTGTTGATTGTCTTCCACAGAAATGAATTCAAAGCACATACAATAGAAGCCTATTTAGGACACTCACTTTGTTAACCACCACACACACTCATTTATTCATTTAGTCATTCCTTCATTTATTAATAATGAAGCCTAGTTGTGTTCAGTAAAGCTCAAAATGCAGCTGAGACAGCTGGTCACTGTAGTGTTTATCAAACGTTACAGGAGTTGGCGTCTATGTTCAGTGGTGGAATACTGTGTTATTATAACCAGCAGAAATTATGCTTGTGGTGTCTTTGCCTCCACCTGGTCTTGTATTTTCTTACCCAGAAATCTTGTTTTGTGTTCCTTTACACACAGTGTCTGCCTGCTTAGCTAACAAAGAGTGTAAACACCTTAATGAACACCTTTCTCCTGCTTCCCTCTGTAGTACTGCCTGTGTATGACTGAAGGCATCCTCCTCTTCTCGGCTGAAGGATCCCCCTTCTGCTTCAAATCTCGGAAGGGTAAAGTCCGTCTCCACTGGTTCTGTCAGGCTCTGGTCCTGATAGCCGCTGCCACTGGGCTGGGCTTCATAGTGGCCAGCAAGAACGTGTCAGAGCACTCCCACCTGGTCACCTGGCACAGTTGGCTGGGCATCTGCACCCTGGCCGCCACCGTGCTCCAAGCGTCTTGCGGTATCTGCGTGATCTTCCCCAAGCTGCTCCGCCTCTCCTCCTTTCTGCCGAGGCTGAAGCTGTACCACGCCACCTGTGGCCTGGTGGTCTACCTGCTGGCCACGGTAACCGTGGTGTCGGCCATGTTCTCAGACTGGTTCCAGGCCACGGTAAAAGGGGTAGCCTGGTGGGCCTTCTTCCTGCTGCCCCTCTTCCCCGCCCTGGTAGTGATGAACCAGATCACTAATGCCTACCTGCCCCGCAAGAAAATCACCAGCTAGGTGGCACATAGCATGAGGCTTTATTCGCTCGGTGGCCATATTGCATTGACATTGTACTCCGAGAATCAGATGGAAGCAAAAGTATCCTTTCAGGATAAAATAATTAGACAGCTTCACATGCCGGTAGTCCCATACACAGTCTTACAGCACAGGTATCTGAAGGGGCGTTTGGAAGCCTGGAATGTAATTGCACTGCCTGCCACATTTGATTTTCGGCTCACTAACGATTTGTCTCAACAAACACTCAAATGATTGAAATTCTGGACTGAAGTTACTCATTGGAGGGTATAGAGCTCAACGGTGAGGTTCTGGAAGTAGAAATGCCGTTCATATTCTGAATAGAGGATTTAGATTATTAGCCATACTATCGTAGCCATCCAAGCTAGACTTTCTACGAGCGATGCCATTGTGAAACGATGGTATACGCTGCTGCAGGAGCCACAAGTTCTTCTGATATCCACCTTGTTTAAAGAACAACATCTTTTATCTGCGACCTCATGTTGAAATACTGCTAATACCCACAATCCTAAAGTGTATCAGCAACTTCTCTGATTGGTAGAGCTAGCTGTTGCTAACATCAGTCAACATGAAACTGCATGAGTCGCACAAATCATGTTCAAATCAATCCAACTACAATATATTACCACACTCTTATTAACAGTAGAAACACTAAAGGTTATCTTAGAAAAGCTAGCATTCACAATGGTTAATGAGATGAGTAGTTCCTATGCTCTTAAAATAATTAATAGTAATTAAACCTTTTTCCGTTTTCAAAGTTGTTGTTTTTTTTGGCTCTGAACAAAATGTTTTATGGTCAGTTCATCTCGTAGTTGGCCGGCTTGGTTCCAGGCTTATAACTCACGGAATGATTAACATCTGGAACCAGAGCCGTTCCAGACGTCACTGTTGAGCTCTATGCATTACGAGGTTGTGTGCACCAAAATGTACCACCCCAGATACCTCCTGGACCCCTCCCAGATACCTCCTGGACCCCTCCCAGATACCTCCTGCCCCCTCCCAGATACCCCTGGACCCCCTCCCAGATACCTCCTGGACCCCCTCCCAGATACCTCCTGGACCCCCCCCAGATACCTCCTGGACCCCCTCCCAGATACCTCCTGGACCCCCTCCCAGATACCTCCTGGACCCCTCCCAGATACCTCCTGGACCCCCCTCCCAGATACCTCCTGGACCCCCCTCCCAGATACCTCCTGGACCCCTCCCAGATACCTCCTGTGTTCAGCACACTTCAGCGTGGCTCTCTCCAGCATTTAGTGGTCAGTAGAAGAACTGCAGTTTAAAACATTGGCATCTTTGCTCTGACTCCCACTGAAACAAGAAACTCAAAGGAATTTCCTGTAATGATGCTGTCCGCAGTATGTGGACTACCATACCAGATGTACACACGTGAAACACAGGACACAGTACAACTGGAGGCAACCTGCTTTCATCTGTTGCCTCTGGAGGAATATTTGCACTACACATGCAGCGAAAGCAATGTATGACTGGTTTCTGAAGGGATGTGAAGCACCTATTGCTGTCTGTGTGAGGAAGGTGCTGCAGCCTGTACATTTTATTTATTTATCCATTTATAATGTGTTTGTGTTGTGGTTGCGTGCAGGTGCTACATGGAGCGTTTTACCATTAAAGTTCCATCATTTAACATTTTTTATATTTGTCCATTTATGAAGGACTGAATTAAATGACGGCTTACAACATGAAAGCGAATTTCCAAGCTTATTGATAGCTCATTGTTTTGCTTATATGGCTCAGGTACGCTACCCAGAGGTGGGACCAAGTCATTGCACTCAAGTCCCAAGTCCTAAACTTTGACTTTTTCAGTCCTAAGCAAGTCATAATGCACTCTAATGCCATAACAACAAAATGAATCAAAATGATCTTTGGTATCATCACCTCTGACGCTACCTGCCCTACACAAAACAACAAACTGCTGCAGACAAAAAGCAAAAAGGCTTAGTAGATAAGTTGTCTTTGGAATAGCATTGCTGTTTTTGCATTGGTAACTTAATGACATGAAAAACTACATGTAGCACCTCTGGTTCATGAGTTATTACATTCTGTGTGTACATGTGACCATTTTCTGTCTTTTAGGTGGTGTTTGTAGCCATGCTCTCTGTGTCTTTGTAATTAGTAAGAAAAATGAACGTGTCCTCACTCTTATGTTGCTTTGTACACGGCCAAAAGCAAAAGCTTTTAACCAGCAGAGATGTCATCAGTCCAGGAACCGAGCTACGCACATAAAACCAGTCACGTCATACTTGCAAGGGCTTGTAGTTCTGTCCAGTCCGCTCAGTACCTCTGCAAAATAGTCAAATTAGAAGACTTGAAAATTGTACCAACTACTGTTAGGAGCCACGGTCAAATAAACCAAAACGTGGTCTAACAGCCTTCCCTAGAAATAAACATCAGGTTCCTCTGAAGACCCCAGCCTATTGCCCCCAGCAGGTACCACCAGTTTAGAGCTTACTAAACACTTTCTAAAACTATTCTAAACCCTCAAACTAACCATAATACTGTATATGGAGCTTCTTTGGATGGAACACCATGGGAACACCTGACAGACTTAATTCAGGGCAGATAAAAGTCCCAAGCAGGTGGCACCAACAGGTTTCCAGCTGCAGGTTTATTTCAGGCCACAATAATGAGGACAGCTCAGTGAGACCCCGGTGAGACAGATAGATGAATGTGGACTATTTTTAAAACGGTGTTAGCAAACCTGATGCACAAAGACCTGTTGGATGTACTGATCCTCACGCACCTTGCCTCAACCTCTTTGTCTTACTCACTGCTAGGAGGCTTGTGCAGATACAAATCATGTTTCCTTTCTGACATAATAGTCCATTAATAATAGTCCATTACAGATCGCTGCACAGCCTGCAAGCAGTGCTATCTACTGTGTCTGAAGAAAGAAAGAAGAAAGATACTTCCACATATCTTGGTTCTCCAAAAGCACTCATGTAGAATGAATGGCCAAAAATGTTACATACTGGACCTTTAATGCTGGGAAATTGTAAGAAAATCAATAGTACATGTTCCTGGAGTTCGTTTCCAGACTGGGTTTCACACTTTAGCGGTCCTTTATTAAAATCAGGGTTTCTACTGTTGGAAGCGATTTCTTCTTCACTGTTCTTCTTTGCTCATTTTGTTAGCAATTCTGGTTTAACCCCAGCTCGACAATGTAATGCAATAAATGTTTAAAAGTGTAAAATAACAATTTTGTTAATTCAGAATTTCCTGATGAAACAGCAGAACTCAAAATACCACATTTAATAGGAATTTTTAGGTTTTATGAAAGAGAATGTACCGCCCCAACCCCCCCCATTAAATGGTACGAATATTCTACTACATGCTACTGAGCACAACTTGCTCATAAACGTATTCTCTGTTCTAACTACTCAGGACTTTGCTGTATGAGCCGATCAGAATATAGGTTGTAGGTTTGTATTTATCTATCCTTGTCACCAGGTTGCCGCCTGTGAACCTTCTGTAATAAACAAATAAATACATGTGTTGTTATTGTTTTTATTATACCTCTGTTGCCCATCTATGCATTCTTGTGAATGCCATATAATGTATATTGACTGACGTATATGTATTATCAGTACAGTGATAACTTCCATTTAGCCAAACTTTATACCTTTTTATTCAGTTCCTTCAAAATATTCACAGCATATATTCTGAGTCTAGACAGAAACGAGTGGTTGGCGGAGGCGTACAAACACGAGGCGGTAGTTCCAGTTCCTAACAAGACAAGACTTTAATGTTCCAGGACTAATGAATGTGGACAATGTGAAACATCAAGAGGTGTTTCAGAAAGCTGTACTGTGGTCACTGACACCGAACAATCACACAGAAAGAAACAGACGAGTGATTCCAGGTTCTACACATACAGTAGAAAATAACCCAGAATGCAATGCAGCCACAACATCTTTATGTGCTAGCTTCAGCTTTTTAAAGGATAAGGCTGCCAATATTCGATGGTTTTCATATTGTCAACAAATCCCATAAAAAGACCAACAGTGATTGTGTCTGCTGAAGAGTGTTATGTCTCATTGACAGTATGATGGACAGCTACTGGGTCTGAAGTGAAGCCAACGCAAAAGTGTCTTAAAACTGCATTCTTTCAAACGTCCAGCAGGGGGCTTCAGTCTTATGGAAAAATGAGCTGACCTCTTGATTTATGAGCTCAGTAAACAGTTTCCTAATGAGTTTATGGTCTCAATCTCTAGTTTCAGTCTTCTTCCATACAGTATGATGTTCATTTAGTAAATGATGGTCCCACCCACCTAGAGCCGGAGGATCTGTCCTAGGTTTCTGCCTTTTAACAGGCAGTGTTTCCTTGCCCCCGTCGCCAAGGTCTTGCTCATGGTGGTACTGTTGGGTCTCTGTAAATAATGTTATAAAGAGTTCGGTCTAGACCTGCTCTATTTGAAAAGTGTCCTGAGATAACTTCTGTTATGAATTGGCGCTATACAAATAAAATTGAATAGAATTGAAATTGAATTTACAGTAAAATAGACCATAAAGCAGGGTATGCTTAAGGGCGGGGCTACCTTGTGATTGACAGCTCATTCAGTGCTGATCAGATATGGATCCAGATTCTCATACTGTGTTGGATATTTCCTCCTGTTTGAAGAATAATGTTTTAGTATATTACAGTCTTTAATAAAAAAGTAAATACATTTGTGACCAGTTTTTACAGATTTCCATTTCCATTGGAAGCAATGTGCTCGGGGCTGAGAGCCACAGCCAGGGTGAAGGATTTGGAGAATATTGAGATACGCACTAACACAATGTTGTTTTTTCATGGGTTTTGTTGTCAACGATAAAAAATAAAAATAAAATACAGCAAACCTTATCAATCAACGTGCACACTTTCAAACACATTATCCCATTAAAATGTTTCATGGTCAAGAGCTCTTACTTTTCATTCAAAGTCCACATTCATCCTCTAGTCTTGGGAGTTGCTGTCATGGTAACATGACCAAGGTAGGTCATGTTTGTTTTTCTGCTTTGTGTTTGACTTTCTGTGCTCTTGTCAGCACCCTTATAAACCAACCTCTCCAGATATAAACTGAAGTGAAACACATTCACCACATTTATTTAAACTGCAAAACAGATTTCGGTGGAATAAAGATGAGCGTACAACAGGAAGAGTCCTCGGCTTGTGGATGATATCAGTTTAGCCTGTTGATGATTGGAGGAGACAATAAAATCATAAAACTGCTCGGTGTCCACAGTGATCCTCCAGGGCTCAAAGTTTGCGGTTAAGAGTCAGGAGCTGCCGGTTTGTCCTCACAGATGTAAGTGACCGAGCAGTTCAGCAGGTCGTACATGTTGACCTCCACGGCCTCCGCTGATGACCCGCCCTCTCTTCCACCAGCCAGAGTCACAAACACCTGCTGGGCGGCTGCCAGCTGCGCCTGCTCCTCCGACAGGGCCGACTCTGCCCCTTCACTGCCCTGATGGGACAGAGAGGTCATATATTAAAGGGACATGTATTAAGACATATTTACAACAGTCTGCTTGGAACAATGTGTGTGACTTTTTCTGTAAAAAAAATTATAATTTCCACATTAAAATCCTTGTAAAGTCATCTACTCCTTTCAGAATCTCTGAATATGCAAATGTTGTTGATTTCTAAAGTTTCCCTGCTGGACACAAGATGTCTCCTCCTTCACTGTAAAGTCCATTCTCAGTGGATGTGCACTGGTGGCTTCAAGTTTCTACATCACACTGTACAAGCTGATACTGGACCAGGGTAATGACGTTTTAGAGCAAGTCAAACACTGCAATGTCAGCCACAGACATAGATCTGCTTTCACCTCATAGTGCTACTTCATTAGGCTGCAGGTTAAAAGATCCCACTTTAATGCATACTAGGAAGTACACCAGACTCTTTGAAGGTACACAAAGAAACAGTTCCATTTCTCTTAATGTTGGCTAGGAAGGCTACAAGACGGAGTGGGTTGGGGATGATTCTCCTGTTCTCTGATATCAGATGTTGTCACTTTAGAGAAGCTGAGATACAGTATTGGTGGGAGAACTCATCTTTCTGTAAGAAAATGGGATAAAACATAGAAATGAACTGATTGTTTTTTCCATGTATAACACCATCCAATACTGCTGTGCTCTGGTGAATATATGGATGGTGTGTGTGGAGTCCTAGACCAATAATGCTAATACTGTCTATATGCACTGGGTTGTTGTTATTGATTCCTTTTTTTAAATCAAAATCAATATAAATAATGTTTTTTTAAAAAAAGCTTGTGTGCAATAAATAATAAGAATCAGATGGCTGAGAGGACTCAACTATATTTCTGCTCTTTCACATGCAAAGATCCCTCTGAGCAACATTTCAATCAGAATATAAGAAATCAGCAATCATTGGTCAAACAGACTGGAAGCTTAGCATCAAAATGTGCAGATTTCAACAGGAACTGGTTCCTGTTTCAGTGTACAATAATATCTATAACAAGCAGGAATTAACAGGATGTTACTGTAGTAGAGCACTGCTGAATATCAGCTGGACATACTACAGACTGACCAATCACAGTTCATTCAATCTAAGCACTGAGTAGACTGCAGAGGTGGTCTATCTCTAGGGATCCTTTCCATAACGCTGTCAGTGGCGGCAACAACAACAACAACAACAACAACAACAACAACAACAACAACAGTCAGTGGACGGACTTTGACGGGCCCATTTGTCCCCATGGATTAGCTAATGTTAAATGGCAGCCATAGCAGCTCGTTACGGAGCCACTTTCTCATCTAACTCTGTGAATTAAAGGTTTATTTGAACCGAACCAGAATTGGCGACTGTTGTTGAAAAACAGTGTGAACAGCAACCTAACCTAACAAAGACCCAAGGCAAACTGTTTGAAGTGTGTTTTATGATTATCTGCAGGGTAAAATGACTGGTTTTGCCAAAGGAGTCTGGTGGGCTGTGGTTTCCATTGTTTTAGTCTGAGATGCTGGTGCTCTATTGGCAAGAGAATTCCATATATGGGTCAATGACAATGGTCAATTAAAATGTATGTAGTGCATATTTTTGAGTCTGGAACAAAGTGTTTTGACAACATTTATTTGTTAAATGAGAGTTTAAATTCATTTTGTAACAGTATTTCTAACCTAACCACCCAAACAATGTCAGGTGGTGAAACCAAATATTCATAAATATATACATATAGTTCCTACTATTGATTTGAAGCTCTCTCTCTTTTCTTTTGGCAAGATAAACTTCTCTTGCAGCTCGATTGTATTTAATGTGCTCCCTGTGTCATGCTGAGTTTTCTTTATTTAATAGTGGCATCTACAACATTGAAATAAAATGTTATTCAAACTAAACCAGTTTAATATAATAAAATGATATGTGTCAAGAATCTATTAATTTAAAAAGGAAATAATACACTCAGACACAAAAATATGCATGTCATATATAACCTTTAACAATCCAAATGATTCTTTGATTCATTTTCTGTTCATTTCTCAGTTAATCAGCTCATCATTTCAGCTATTTTTTCATATTTAACAGATAAGGGCTGAAATGATGAGCATACAGGAAGCCTGTGCGTACTGCTTTTCCCAGCAGAGCTCCTTACTGTGTGTGAGGTGGAGGCCTGCTGCTCCTCTCCGGCCTCCTGCTCCTCCTGTGCCTCCACATGACAGGAGAGCAGGTGCTCCTGCAGCTCCATCTGGGAGGTGCAGACCAGGGAGCAGAGGAGGCAGCTGGTGGCCTCGCTGTTCGGGCTCACGTGCTGGCTGCTGATGTGCTCCTGCATCTCCTCCTCCCCGCCCAACACAGCCGGGCAGTACGGACAGCGCTCTGCCGACGCTGCCAAGCCTGGAGGACGGACACACAGAGCTGCTGGTATATATTCATTCATTCATTCAGAAAGTCACAACATGTACATGACATGGAAACTTCTTCAGTCCTTTGCTGAGCGGCTAGAAATGAGCGCTAACGCACAGGTTGTGAAGTCGAGGGTAAAGATACAACTCAACAAGCACACATTCATCATTAAAATGTTTTGTGGCCAAGCATTGATCAGCACTGACTCAACTACTAGAGGATCAAAACTGAAATAAAATGTTAAAGGACCATACCAGTGGTGTTGTTTTTTTAAACTTCAAATCACAAATAGACAAATTCAATTTAAATTGGGGAGACTTTAATCTTACTTATGTTAGGTAATCCATCACAGTGAAACTCCTGCCTGCATTAAAGGTCCAGTGTGTAACATTTAGGAGGATCTATTGTCAGGAATAGAATATATTATTCATAGGTATGTTTTCATTAGTGTATAATCACCTGAATATAAGAATAGTTGTGGTTTTGTCACCTTAGAATGAGCTGTTTATATCTACAGAGGGAGCGGGTCTTCTTCTACGGAGGCCACCATGTTCCCACAGTAGCCCAGAACAGACAAACCAAATACTGGCATAAGGCCTTTCATGTGTTTCACGGCCACCATAGTTCCTCCTACGTGCCTGGTACAGGAAAGGTAAGGCGATGGGGTTGCCACTAAATCCTACACACTGGTCCTTTAATTGTCTACCTGCCCAGAGACAACAGATGCATATTAACTGTTAGCTAACTCCTGTGCATTTACTGTTAACTGTGTTCTGTCCCTGTAAAAAATAAACAAATAAAATACAAAATAAAATTCATGTTGTAGGTGTGAGTGCAACAATAATGTAATTCCACTGTGATGTCATTTCAGTTTTAATTCTCTCATTATTGGAATCAAAATAGCCGAGTTCTGCTTGTCCTGTTCTGTGCAGCAGCCCATCTTAGACATTATGTTTCTGCTTCTTGAGTCTGCTGTTAAACTTGATAAAAGGTAAACATTGTGTCCAAAAAGTGGATGAAGCAAAATGGGACTTTTAAAGAAGTCTAATCTTTAACTATCTGCAAAAGCCCAATGCGTTTTGGAAAACTATAGAATATAATCTCTTTAATCTCCCTCTCTAATCCCCTTTGGTTACACAACACAGAGGGATTAAATGTGTGTCTGAATGAAAGAGATATGGTGCTGTTTAATCAAATTGTTGGTTTCTCCTCAGACGTCATCCCAGCAGCAGGAGCTGTCCAGCAGTCTCTCACACTGTACTGCATTACTCTGCTCCTCACGCTGTTTTATGATCATTACAAAGTCATGTCACTGGTGTTAAAATCATTCTACATATCTTCAGCAGATTCCTGAAACATCCCCTTAAGTTGAGATGTAGCAAAATGTGTCTGAGGGGCTGAATCCTTCTGGTGAAGGCCACATTTGAGACCATCCTCACCTTGGTGCTCTGCAGCCTGGTGTTTGGCCACACTGGCGGCACTGGGAAAGAACTTGAAGCAGACATCACACTGGACCAGGGTCTTGAGCTGCCGGGTGTGGCTAGCAAACACATCGGGGTGGTTGGTCCTGTTATGGTACCACAGACCCGAGAGTTGCTATGGCAACAGAGAAAGACATAATCTTAAATTCTACAGCACACTACTGAGGAACTGACCATCGCCTCAGAGCAGTGAGGTGGAGCCACCTCATCCTACCTGGTAAGACTTGTTACAGAGGTCGCAGCTGAAGGGCTTGGTTCCGGCGTGTGTGCCCTTGTGTTTGTCCAGCAGGGCGGCGCTGGTGAACACCTTGTTGCAGGTGGGACACTTGTGGAACTCCTTTGGGTGGAGCTCCTGGATGTGCTGGCGATGCTCCTCCAGCGAGGAGAAGCTGAGGCAACACTTCTGACAGTCATGAGGCTCCGACAAATCTGACAGGGAGCAGCAAATACATCATTAATATTTAATAATAATATTACTAATGATTACAATGACATCATTATTACTAATGATCACAATGATGTCATTGTAATAATGATATAATTGTAATCATTAGTAATATTATTATTAAATATTAATGACATCATTATTACTAATGATTACAATGACATCATTATTATGTCAGCTTGCTGTCAGTGCATCATTCATACCACAATGTGTTTCTATTGCTGTTACAGTAGTATGATAAAAATACTGAATGTTGACTTCTAGGTCTTTGGTAGACCTCACTGTCTTTTAGAGGCTGCAGCGGACTCCATTTTAGAGTTTAAAGTGAAGCTACTGGAACCATATGAAACCAGAACACCTCTAAAAAACAGTTGAGGCAACTGTCCACTGAGACTACTCATAAGGAGCACGGTCTAGACCTGCTGTATAAGAAACGTGTCCTGAAAAAAGGTTTGTTTTAAATTGGTGCTATATAAATAAAACTGACATTGAATTGAGTAAAAAAAAAAAAAGCTCCAAAGGTAGGGTAAATCTTGGCAAGGAAAAAGTAATTGGCTTGACCTCTTGACCTCAAGATACCGGAATGAAAATGGGTTCTATGGGTCTCCAGGAGCCTCCACTTTACAGACATGCCCACTTTATGCTAATCACTCACAGTTCGGGTTCCTAAATAGTGTTGGAACTGAATAAACTGGGTTCAACTGGAAAGCTGAGACTCTTGTAGATTTATTGATCTCATTTGTATTCATGTGATGATGTTGGTCCCCATAGTAACCATTTCATTGTAGTGAAACTTGACTGTCCTAGGTATATTGACAATAATGGGGTTTATAAGAATATTCCAGAACAGAAGTGCTTACCATCTGATCACTAATCCAATTCTTCCAGAAATCTCCAAATGTCAAAAGTTAAGATACCACATCACATCATGAACACTTGCCCCCGCCGAGTATTATTTTGAAGTAACCAGTCTCCGGCAGCATTTTAGATCACATTCACTAATCTTCCAAGATTATTCTCTATGAATAAGTGAATACATCACTATTTTTATACAGAATTATAGAAGAAGTATTCTAACTTTGTGAACAGCGAAAACACGGACTGCTGGCATATCTTGTCAATGACGGGGAAGCATTCCATCTTAAATGACAGAATATCTTGTTAATGGCAGGTATAGTGTTATGGTCTTGGTGTCTTAAAGTGGTATTTTGAAGGGGTTACATTTCGCACCAAATCTTTGTAACATCTGGTTAAATATAAATTAAATAAATGAATGCAACATCTTAAAAGACATAGTTAAGGATGGGCATGACCATCATTTACTTCAATCATAATGTTCTAAATTCTTATACAGTGTAAACTTTCAGTATTTGAATAAGGGCAAAACACAATGTTTATTACAGATTTATGAGCTGAGCTTTATCTCAAATTCATCTTTAGGTTCCCAGCTTTCAGATGATGTATAACACTTTAATGTTATGTACTGTTGACCTGCTATTTCCCCCTTAAGAACCCCTGACAGTCCTAAAAAGTCAAATTAAAATTTTAGGCACATATTAAAAGTTAAAAGTCTATTAAAGTTGAACATTTGATCTTTTCTATTCTATATGACAGTAAACAACGTGCTCTTACTGTGGAAGGTGTGCAGGTGGACGGTGAGTCCGCTGGCCTGGCTGTAGCCTTTGCCGCACTCTCGACACACATAAGGCCGATCGCCAGTGTGTGTCCGCACGTGACGCGTCAGTTCAATGGACTGGGCGAAGATGGCCTTACAGTACTGACACACATACATCTTCCCTAAACACAAAAAGACAAAGTGGGACTGCACAGACTGAACTGACTGGACACGTAAAGACATAGCTGACACGATATTGTTTCAGTCCTGATGGCTCAATGCAAAGCTTAGATTGCCTCATCATCAGTGACACTGCAATGAGGGCTGTGTATTGGCAAGAATTTGCAATACTGTAATCAAGGAGATATATTGCTATTTTTCATAAAAAAAACTCATTTTAAGAAAACACACCACCAAACTCTGTTTTAAAAAATCAATACATAACAAAAAACATTACGATACTCAAGTGTATTGATATTATCTTTCACCTCTAACTTCAACAAACATTCAGATTCAGTTAAGTGAACAATTGTCCCGATTGTAGAAATAAATGATAACTTTATGAATGGGGATGTTGGAACATAACACAATAATTCAATGTCGACTTTCAGTGGAATAATATGTATAACTCTACGGTCATATATCATCTTAATGTTTAACACCAATCTGTATTTTAAATGAACAATTTTAAGTATATTGTGTTTAAAATGAAAAAGTGGATCAGCAGCAGTGCTGTAAACAACACAAACATTTTCTTTGTTAATACATAGGTGTGTGTGGTTGTGTGTGTGTGTGTGTACCCTCTGAGTGTTTCTTCTTGGTGTGGTACGCGAGTGCGGCAGCCACACTGAAGCTCATATCGCAGTGTTTGCAGTGGTAAGGTTTCTCCCCCGTGTGCAGCCTCATGTGGTTCTTCAGAGATGAGTTGGCGCCGAACTTTGCTCCGCAGTCCTCGCATGCAAACGGTTTCTCCTCAAAGTGCTCAGTGCGTTTGTGGTAGATCATGCCTGAGATATGGCGAGAGGGAGCAGAAATGTGACACACTTTAAGCTTTTGAACATCGCATACGTTTGTGTCTGTGGAACATTTACAGAGTGACCTAACAGACATCTGTTCAGTTTAGAATGAAAAACTTCAGGACAGGATGACATTTCATTGCTGCAAGTGAAAAACATTTGTATGTTCAACCACATCGTAATTTTTTCGTAAAGTTTTTCAAATTTCAAATAAACTTCTGTTTCTACTGTTATATAAGTCGCTTAGGCTTGCAAGACCTTCTTAATTCAAAGGAGTGTGAAAAGAATTAAAATAAAATACAGTAGGCCTGTATCTCAGCAATTCATTTCTGTGAAGAAAAAAACTACTCTAAAAATAACAAAAAGTTTCATTTCGTCAAGATATAAACTGAATTTATAAACCTCCCAGGATAAGGGAAGGGGAAGACCTGAACACAAGCTATATTCACAGAGCCTAGAACAATGAACAAAAAAGAAGCCTATTAAGTTACTCCTAAGTACATAGGATTTTTAAAAATTAGTTTAGAGTTAGTGTTAACTGTTTGGGTTCATTGTACAGTTTATCAGCTGTTCTCTACTGTTATTGGTATGCACTGAATATGATATGAAATATCCATAAAATCTGAGTTTACACAATGGTAGAAAAGGGTTCCCTTAAGGAAGAGGTGATATAAGTGATAATGAGGCAAGGTGCTTAAGAATCCATCCGACCCAGCTCAGCAGCTGATGACAGTTTACCACCTCCAGTCACACATGATGCAGTGAGGCTGCCAGGAACCGCCAACACCTCCCTCACTCAGCTGTCCGTCCAACTGTTGCTGTTTCACTTCAGTGACCAGAGTGCTGTAAATTACACCTACTTAATCACACCTTCTTACTTAACAATACATATCTGATGAACTGTGATGGTTGCTGTGCCAATTTATCCCTCCCCTTCCAGGAGACAGCTCATTTATTTGAACTTTGCACAGCTTGCACCACCAGCTCCTCCACCCTGTTCCTTGCAAGGGTTTCTCATACTAAATGAATGGGAATATGCAGATAACTGTGTCTCTATCCTAACAATGAGGAGTGTCAGGTTATAAAGGCTAATCTGTATATTAATATGACTGTATATTACTACCACTGATGGGCAGTAACACGTAATCCGATTACTTTTTTCAAGTAACGAGTAAAGGGATTACAATTGCAAAAACAGTATTTAGATTACTGTTACTGTCCCGCAAGCAGGCTGTGTTACTGCGTTACTTAACCGTGATTTTGTTTTGTGAGACTGTCTCGTGAGTGACAATGACGTATGAGCGCCGCGACGTCAGTGGTAAACACTGACACGTGTAGTGATCAATAAGAGACAACATGGAGCGCGGGTGAGAGCAGGACCATGCAGCGTTTAATGCTTGGAAGTACCGACATTACTTTGAGTTTGACTCAGTAAAAGGTGACAAAAACATCAGTGTCCGCTGTACACTCTGCGTGGGAAGAAAACTTTTATCTACAGCGAAAAATTCCACCTCAAATCTGAGCAAGCACCTAGCAAGCCGGAACAGGAATGTGAAACTCACTGAAAAAAACCTGGATCCCCCACTGACATGACCGTTGTGGCTACCACATCCAATTCCACCGTGCAAAACTCCTCCGAGGGCCCCTCTCCTGCTAAACAGGTGAAAATAGACTTAGTGCCGCTGAACTGAAGAAGCTCGTCGCTGGCTATATTGTTTTAAAAAAGAGACTGTTTCATTTGATTCAATTTTAGATGATGGAATATGCAGAAAGAATAGAATTAGGCTGAAAGGTCTATCGCTTTATAGCGTATTCAGGTTGTGCATCATGTTTTTGAAAAGTAACTTAGTAAAGTAACTAGTAAAGTAACTAATTATTTTTGAAAATAAGTAATCAGTAAAGTAACTGGATTACTTTCTTGGGGAAGTAATCAGTAATCAGTAACTAATTACTATTTCCAAGTAACTTGACCAACACTGATTACTACTAGTACTTAACTTACTAGTCAGCTGGTAGCTAAGCAGCCACTGGTGGTGAAGCATGAATGAAGCAACTGATGCTGATGAAATGATCAACAATAAAATAAACTGCCCAATTCTTAAGAAAATGTGAATATTTCTTCTCAAATGTGAATATGTTCTTGTTTCTTTAGTCCTCTATATTCATTATTGGGTTGTGGACAAAACAAGACATTTGAGGATCACATTGGGCTTTGTGAAACATTTTTTACCATTTTCTTTAATCTTTTGAACTAAAAAACTAGCCAGTTAATTGAGAAAATGATCGACAGATGATAGCTGCAGTAGGTAAGCTAAAACTCAAGATTGGTTGTTTTCGTTCAGGCCTAGTGGATTCTTGCAAATGCCATTAGGAGCACTAGGAGGAGCCAGAGGAACCTGATTGTTTCACAGAGTATCTAGTCGCCAAACAGTTGTGGGACTTTCTACATAATAATAGCTTATTTGAGGATTTTCAGTCAGGATTTAGAGTTCATCACAGCACAGAGACAGCTCTGGTTAAAGTTAATAATGACCTTTTGATTGCTTCTGACAATGGACTTGTCTCTGTACTTGTATTATTAGATCTTAGTGCTGCATTTTACACCATTGACCATGATATTCTTTTACAGAGACTTGAGCATCAAATTGGCATTAAAGGAACCGCACCAAGCTAGTTTAGGTCATACTTATCAGATCGTTCGCAGTTTGTACACGTTAACAATGAATCTTCCATAAATACTACAGTTAGTTATGGAGTTCCACAAAGTTCTTTACTTGGACCAATACTATTTACTTTATATACGGTTCCTTTAGGCAATATTATTAGGAATCACTTCATTAACTTTCATTGCTATGCAGATGATACATTTTTTTTTTTTTAAAAACCTTTTTAAAATAATTAATTTTTTAAAAAAAAAAAATTTTTTTAAAAAAAAAAAATCTTGAAAAAGTTCAAATTTTTTATATTAAAACCCAAAAAACAAAATTATTTGGCCCCAAAACAGTTATAGTTACTCTAATGGCATTACCTTGCCTCGAGCACCACTTCAGGAATTTGGTTCTTTATCAGGACCTGTCATTTAACTCCACATAGAAAATTAATCCATGCATTTTTACTTGGTAAATTACAAACATGTCTTTCACCCTTTCACACACATTTATACAGTGATGGTAAAGCCCATCGAACAGAAAGTAAATCATTCATACACATTCACACACAGATGCACGGCATCTGGAGCAATTCGGGGTTCAGCTCAAGGATACTTCAACATGTGGCACCAGGAGCCGGGGATCAAACCAACAACCTTCCAATTAGGGGACGACCCACTCTGCCTCTGCGCCACAGCCACCCAAATAAACTTCTAGGCTGGATGACTGCAACTCTTTATTATCAGGCTGCCCCAATAAGTCCATTAAGACACTCCAATTAATTCAAAACGCTGCAGCACGAGTACTGACAGGAACTAGAAAAAGAGATCACATCTCTCCTGTACTAGCTCCTCTGCATTGGCTCCCTGTAAAATGTAGAATAGAATTTAAAATCCTCCTCCTCACCTATAAAGCTCTTCATGGTCAGGCCCCTTCATATCTTAAAGAGCTCATAGTACCCTATTACCCCTGTAGAACACTACGTTCTCTGAATGCAGGGCTACTTGTGGTTCCTATAGTCTCTAAAAGGAGAACAGGAGCCAGAGCCTTCAGTTACCAAGCTCCTCTCCTGTGGAACCAGCTTCCAGTTGTGGTTCGGGAGGCAGACACCCTCTCCACATTCAAGAGTAGGCTTAAGACATTCCTCTTTGATAAAGCTTCTCTCTCTTCCTCTATCTCTCTTTCTGCACTTTCGTCATCATCTTCTTCATCATCAGCCACTACTATTAGTGCAGTTGTTGCTACTGTTGTTGCTGTGCACCTGTCTGTCTGTCTGTCTGTCTCTGTCTTTCTGTCTCTCTCTCACCCCAACTGGTCGAGACAGACGACCACCCACCTAGAGCCGAAGGGTCTGTCCTAGGTTTCTGCCTCTTAAAATGCAGTTTTTCCTTGCCCCTGTCACCAAGTGCTTGCTCATGGTGGTACTGTTGGGTCTCTGTAAATAATGTTATAAAGAGTTCGGTCTAGACCTGCTCTATTTGGAAAGTGTCCTGACATAACTTCTGTTATGAATTGGTGCTATACAAATAAAATTGAATTGAATTGAAATGTCCTACTGTCAGGATATAGTGAAAGTTTCAGCAAATATGACAAAATGTTATTTTTATCAAATTCAATTCAATTCAATTTTATAAAAGATACCTACTGCAGATTTTCAACTATTTGGCACCATTCATCATCTAGAAATTCTGAACACGAAACCAGCATGACCTGTAAGTGTCAGCGCTAGGAGTGTAAAGCTGGTCATTAGCATTTGTGTTGTGTACAAACATAGAGAGGCATTGCTTTCCCTGGATTGGCTGATTCTCACCTGATGGGTGGGCAAAGGTTCGCCCGCAGAGGTCACAGGCCACCTTCTTCTTCACTCGCGCCGTGTTGTTGTGAGCCTCTACCCGATGGCGCTGCAGGGCCCGCTGGTTGGGCAGCTTCGCGGGGCACTGCAAGCACTGCTGCTCATACTCCTGGGACATGGAACAGCGCTTCATGTGGGCCAGCATTCGACACTTATAGGCAAAACCTTTCTTACACCAGCGACAGGAGTAGGGCTTGGAGGGGGAGGTGGAAGAGGAAGAATCCGTGGTAGCATTTGTGACTTTCTCGTCCTCTTCGGTCTCCTCCTTACTGTTTACTTCTTCTCCCTCTTCCTCCTGCTCTTCTTCACTTTTGGTGCAGTTCTGCTTTTCTGAGTCAACTGTAAAAACAAATGGTTAAAAACAATTACCACTGTCACAGCAGCAAGATTGAGTGAATGCTCAACTGAAAACAGGCGCTTTTTCGTTTTGTTAAAAAGAACGTTCACTCTGTGTTGATTCTGGCGGTCCCTGTGGACAAAAGTGGTAATGTTTCTACCTCCTTGTTTAATTTCATGGGGAATATGATCAAATCTAACCCATGCATTAAGATCAACTACATAGCAACAGCCAATCTTCTCACTGGTGGCCTTATTTGACTGTAGTAGGCTTAAAGTTGACATATCCACTTACACTGAGTCACAAAGTGCTCTTCTTTACCTCCACCTTGGTCTCCTTCTGGCTCCTGTGTGTTCCCCTCTGCCTCCTCCAGCAGAGAGAGCAGTGGTGTTGGGGAAGGAGGAAGGAGCATTGTGCTGAACAGTCTGGAGCAGTCTGCGAAGCGCTCCCTCAATGAGCTGCCCCTCCTTCACTCTGCTCACCAGCTTCTCCAATGCTGAGCTGGGATCTGCCTCCTCACAGCACTGACACACAACCTGGCAGGAGCAGAAATGTACCTTTTTTATCACAACTACAGTGAGAACCATGCCTTTATTTGAATTATTAGGGCCCGAGCACTGACCGTGCGAAGGCCCTATTGTAGTCGTAAGGATTCTTATTTTAGTAACAAATGAATCGCATATTCGGAGGCTTTCCCATAATGCCACCTTTCCCTGCACTTATTTTGTAGCCTATGCAAAGTGAGAACATTTCTAAGTAAGTAACACTGAACACAAACATTACTTTTGCGCGACAACCCCACGTTTAACTGTAGGGATAAAAGGAGTTTTCAGGACTGGGGCGACCTGTCCTACCCGTCTCTCCTGTTCCTCCAGGCTGCTCTGTGCTGCCTGGCTCAGCAGCTCCAGGACAGACGGCATGCTGCTGAGAAGCTCCAGATTCTGGGAGAAATGTTTTAGTAGACCAGTAGCAGACCTGTTGGATACCGTGGCTGCTGTCGTGTTGTTTTCTTCCACCTCACTTTCTGAGGATTTGGCTTCTTCAGGCTCTGTGTATACAAACGTATGAAAACAGTGCAGTCAATAAGTGTTAGGACAGTATCAGGTTGCTGTTTTGGTTGGACCTAATGAGCTGGTAACTCAGTGTATTTATGTCTTCAACACGTTTCTGAACTCCCTAAAACAGCCCTTTGACAGCAGCTGAAACTGACCTGAGGACTCGGAGAGCTCCACACAGGTCCTTTTACATGCTGGTTCCTCTGGGTCTTCACTGTCATCCTGTCTGTCCCCTTGACAGTTTTCCTTCTTGAGCTCAGCCTTCAGCCCTGTCTTCTCTAAATCTGAGCCGTCCTTGTTGGGTGAAGCTGGACCTTCGCACTTTAGGCTCTGGGTGTTGTTGATCACGGTAAGGCTTGGGCTCTGTGTAGAATGGACAGGGGTTGGGGGATGCTGGCTCACAAGACTGGTGAGGACGTTTTTGAAGCCAACAGCCACGTCGAACATCTGCAGGCTGTCTGCGGCGGCAACAATGCGGCTGACGTTGTGTTTGCCTATCGGCAGCTTGCCAGTGTAGACCATGTCAAGCAGGCAGCCAAACTCCTGCGAGGAAACCATGGCTGTGTCGATGGAGATAGTGTCGGAGCCATCCAGGAGAGACCTGACAGAGATTGAGGTTATTTTATTTGTTTATTTATTAAAAGGTCCATTGTATAGGATCTAGCGGTATCTAGAGGTGGAGTTGCAATCTGCAACAGAGGAGAAGCTAAGGTGGCTGCGAAGTGTGTGAAAAACGTGAATGCTCCTCACCTTGCATGGAGTCCACCATGTTGAACCACACTGTTTCTACAGTAGCTCAGATGGGACAAACCAAACCATGACTGTAGATTGGGCCTTTCGCAAGTTTCACAGCCACCGTAGTTTCTCCTACACACTTCACACCCTGTTCTTATTCCCAGGTCATCAAATACCAACATGAGTGGTATGCAATTAGTTACAATGTAAAACTTCACTGCTAGATGGCACTAAATCCTACACACTGGTCCTTTAAATGACAAAAAAACAAACCATAGTAGAGATGGAGGGACTGGTTTGTGACAGGCCAGATTGTTCTGCCCACATGAAGTTGGCAAAAGCAAGATATCAGATAAATAACAATAGATGAACTACATGAAAGAACATGCCTTTTAGATTTTCCCGTCACAGACCTGACTAAAATTGTGCATCAAATTAATCAATATGGGTGTGATGTGGATGTCCACCACTAGAGCTGTAAACATAGACTCGAGTTAGACTTATGTAAATCATTATGAAAATCTGGAGTTGTCTTGTGACTTGGGCTTGCCATCAAGGAGTTGAAATTTGAGACTTAATACTTAATAAATCTTGAGACTTGACTTCAAGATGTTTGCAAGGAGTTGACTTGAGGCTTGTTTTTACTGACTTGAAATCTGACTCAAGACTCGCGTTGACAAGACTTGGGACTTTGCATGGATGAGGTCTGAGACTCGACTTCGGTCTGATTTATAGGGTTGGGCGATTTAAACAATATATTGGCTATCAGCAATTCTCCCCATCCCCGGTTGTTTTTTCTTTAAGCGATTTCTGTCACTTTATTTTGCTCATTTAATGCCTCTGCAGAGTGAGAGCCACTCACTGACAGACTGAACGACTGAAAGCAAAAACAGCAGTTGGTGATTGTTGAACAGTGTAAAGAATAATAAAGACGGTTTGGTGAGTTTTTTGTTTCTGTCAAGTCTGAATGAAGTGTGTTAGCTTGGTATAAGGGAGAAACCTAAACTGTTTAATGTTTTTATTATTTAATAGGTGTTTTTCCTTTAATGATATTTGCTGAGTTTATTTTCTTTGTTAAAGCTGTTAGGGCTTGTTGCATGTAGTAAACTTGCTGCTCATCTCCCAGCTGAATTGCCAATTGCCAATTGTTGGACTGATGGTGACCAGTTGGAAAATTTTAACTTTGCCCAACCCTAGATCTGAAACAGAATATGAATTCCAATCCACCACATATTTCACTTCAATAAAACCATATGCAAACCAGTCTCTGCAGATCACCTTTCAAATCCCACGCTCACACTACCTGAAAAGCATGCTGGAGGCAGCCAGCACCAGTTTATGTGCACGGTGAGGGCTGTCTCCCACCAGGATGGTGCAGTCGCAGAAGTGGCCCTCCTTCCTCAGGGCCCACAGCTGCTGCATCAGCTGGCTGCTGTAGTTGGGTAGCTCCATCATGTTGTTTCAGTCTGGAGGGGGAAGAATGTTACGTCCTCTCTTGTACGGAGAGAACGTCACGCCAAAGTTAATGCAGAAATTGACAGTTTAAATTTTTAAAAAATGTTGCGATGTATGTAAGCCCATTTCCGCCAACGTGAGGGGAAATAACATTCTGTAGGTCTTTATAATGAGAATTGTATCAAAATATTGATTAAGCATCTGAAAATAATGACTTAGTATCTCAGAAAGTTTATCATTATTTTGAGATACTAAGTCAATATTTTGAGAAAGTGTATTTTTATAATGATTTACAGAATCCCCCCAACCCCAACCCTAACCCCAACCCCAACCCCAACCCCAACCCTAACCCCAACCCCATGGGTCACAGATATTCATAAGACGTCTCCAGTATGTAATGTGCTTTGAGTTCTGTGTCTGCACCATAAGAAACCCTGTCTTTAGTCTGTATTTGAATGGAATTTGGCGTATGAAAAAGTAAATTTAAGATCATATTTAGTAAGCTACTGTGCCTTCGCTACATTCCACAGCATTGGTCCACATTGTAACAGCAGCCGACTGTCAGCTCACAGGTTTCACATTCTGAAGCTCTCTGGCAGGATTGACCAGATACAACACGAGCTAGCCGGCTCTAACAGGCTGTCTGTCATTAGCTTTAGCTCTGGATGCTAATGTAATGTAAAAAAGGTTAATAATGTTAATGAAGTGAAGCTCATTGGGATACAGCAGCAGTTTGACGCTGACATAAACACCCTGACGACCATCCAACATGCTTCCAGTCAATGGATGTCTTTACCTTGAATAATTCAAACGATCCGTCTCTTTATTTAAACTGCTATGCTGAACAACTCTGGTGTGCGCAATAAAGATTAGCCATTTTGAAAATGGAGACAGACGGTACGGCGGCCAAATGGGGACGGTTCCGGTGCCCGCTGTTTTTCTAACGCGTTTGCCTTTCTAGCTGCATTGATATCAAACTGTCCAGCGAAAATATAACATCGATTAAATGCGAATACGTTATGTAGTCCAACTGTATTTACTCACCCAACAATGATGGCATACAGCGGGGTTCAACCGACATGTAACATTAGCTAACGTTAGCCGCAAAGCTACAGGAAGCACCATTGGGAAACACAGAGGACTTTTTCTTTTTCCTTGAATTTATTTTTGAACAATATAACATGTCTCATTATTATGGAAGCCCATTTCCACCAGGAAAAAAAAGACAGATAAAACTTAACTTTTATAATAAAAATATCCTTAAAGTAAATCGAAATTATGAGCTAAAAAGCCAACTGCCATTGAGGCGCATGCGCACTTTTTATCTAATAATTTCGATGCATAAAGAAAAAAAACAAAAAGATAATGAAGATAACACAAGAGGCTAATTTAAGCAGGTTTAATATTAAAAAGTTAAATTTAAAGGTTTTGGTTAGTTTTTTGTTTTTAAATGTGAAAGTGTTCAAATGTAATATAAGATGGTAACTTACACGTTAAAATGTGTGACTATAAAATGTACCTAAAATAATGAGCTAATTAATTAATGATTGTTCATTGCTTGATAAATTAGAAATGGTGAATATTATAGTATAGTTATAACATATAGCATAGCACTGACCATAAAAAGAATTCACGTTAATGAGTTAATAGCAGCTAATGTAAATGTTAAAAAGCAGACTTAAAAATAAATGTTACAAAAACCTGTTCACATATTTTAAATGTGTTTTTTCATATTTACAATATATCTAATTGGTTACAGCTGTGTTTACCCTACTATTTCATGTCAAAATGGCTGCTGTAAAAAAGGCATATTGCAAAGATGACTTTGGTTGTAACCGCCTTGGGACAAAAACTAGTTGTGCGACCAATCCATCTACAGCACCACTGTCAGGAATCTTGGAGTTATCTTTGATCAGGATTTGTCATTTAATTCCCACATGAAGCAGACCTCTAGGACTGCCTTCTTTCATTTACATAATATTACAAAAATTAGACACATACTATCACAGACAGATGCAGAAAAACTAATCCATGCATTTGTTACTTCTAGGCTGGATTACTGCAACTCTTTATTATCAGGTTGCCCCAATAAGTCCATTAAAACGCTCCAATTAATTCAGAATGCTGCAGCACGAGTACTGACAGGAACTAGAAAAAGAGATCACATCTCTCCTGTACTAGCTTCTCTGCATTGGCTTAAAATCCTCCTCCTCACCTATAAAGCTCTTCATGGTCAGGCCCCTTCATATCTTAAAGAGCTCATAGTACCCTATTACCCCTCTAGAACACTACGTTCTCTGAATGCTGGGCTACTTGTGGTTCCTATAGTCTCTAAAAGTAGAACAGGAGCCAGAGCCTTCAGTTACCAAGCTCCTCTCCTGTGGAACCAGCTTCCAGTTGTGGTTCGGGAGGCAGACACCCTCACCACATTCATCTTGCAGGTTCTCATGGATCCTGGTGGAGCCTCCTGCCATTATTGTTATTATTGTTCATCAATCCCCATCACTGTGGTGTTTGTCATCATCATTATCATCATCATCAGTAATTTCTACAAGTATAGTTGTTGCTACTGTTATTGCTGGTAGCTTTGTCTCTGTCTTTCTCCCTTTGTCAACCAAATAGAGCTAATGATCACCAACAAATGAACACTTTATGACTGAGAAGGATAACTTTATTTGTGTCAGTGTAGGATATCATCTACAGACAATGCTACTTTTCAATTTAAAAAATAACACAAAGTATTCCAATCAATCATACTGTATCTGTAGTGTACCTTACCCACACTAGATGGCACCAGTAATGAGACAGTTTCCATAGGAAAACAGGTTTAGGAGGATGACATTTGGGTTTGGTTTGATTCTGTCATTAAACTATAGAGCCCTACCGCCAATGTTAGCATCTGACAAGGCCATATTACAAACATTATCGTTAGTGTGGTATATGTTATCTGGTATGAAAACAGGTTTTTTTCCTGGTATATAATGCAGACAAAAAGTGCTTGTGCTAATATATTGGTGTCACTGCAAAGTTTATCCAGCAGAATCCACTGTGATTTTACAACACTGTGGCAAGCAGCACAGAGGAAGAGAAGCAGCAGCTCTCAGCAGTGTCAACTGGAATCAGTTGACACTTTGTATGTTCAATTATTTAACTCTAACTTTATTAAAGGTCACTTAAATATTCTTTGTAGTTAAGAAAGCAGCCTCCTGACTACCTTTGTTTTATGACATTGGTCCACAAAAAAAAAAAATTGGTATGTGTCTCAAAAATCCCATATTGGCTCGTTAAACAACTAACCTCTTCAGTCCTTTAACCAAGAATTTAGACAACAGCTTAATAAGAGGAGCACCTTCAGCAGAAGACTCCTCTCACCCAGATGTACCACAGGAAATCATTCCTGCCTGTGGTCATCAAACTCTACAACGCCTCCCTCAGTCAGACACCCCCTCTCTGTAATCTGACCTCAAACACGGACAATCAGAAACTGCACATGGTCACTGTACATATGGTCACTTACACTTGCCATTTTTGCACATTTGAAAGTGTGATTTTAAACCGTACATTTTAAACCTTAATCTATATATATATATATATATATTCTATGTCTTTTACATCTGGAGTATATGTAACTAAAGTAATTTCCCCCTGGGATTATTAAAGTATTTCTGATTCTGATAATTACAAACTACTTTCAACAATGGACCACCTTTGGTACAGCACTGTACCACCAATACCGCATTCTGTTAGGCAATTTGTTGAACTAATAATTACGAGTGTGTGAGACAATGTGTTTTGAAAATAACTTTATTGTCCATAAGAAATAACAGTGAAAAGAACAGGACATATCACTGCTTGCATTCTGTTTCTCTGGAGGTTTGCACTGCTGACACTTCTGCAGGAATCAGCCTCTATACATACCGTGTAGCTATGTATCTCTAAATGCCACATGGAGTATATGGATATAGATTGTAGAGGTAATAAATGTTCTAACATTTAAGAGCAGTTATATTTGTAATACTTAACAGTTACTCGTGCATTCGTTTGACAAACCTGAAAACTCTGCAGTGAGAACACAAGCCTCCACATAATGGAAAGAAAGAACATTGTCTTGAGTTTTTCTTCTGCCATAATTTAAGAGTCCAAAACAAAGCCCATTTTCTTGAGTAACAGTAGAAGTGAACTGAAGCCAAGCCTCAGAATAAAACAAATCCACCTAGTTTCCTCAACCCAGGCAGAAGCGCTACCACAAAGTCCTTCAGAATGATTAGGAAGTTTAAATATCAAAGGTCAGCTAACCTTATGTAGAGAAAAACAGCGGCTTTGTAACAGAGTCACAGTTTTATTAAAGAAAGCCTACTCAAAACGTAAAAAAACAAATTAAAGCACTTATTTATATATGGACACTTGACAAATTCAAGCCTTTTTTAAAATTTCCATCTGTTATTTGTCCAATTCAAGCATAGCTTTCCTCAGTGCCCGAGAAGCCCAGTGCCTGCAGAGAGGAACGGAAATTATTAGATCAAATCAGAACCAAATCACACTTTACACCTTAAAGGTAAAGCCTTAACTGGCCACCTGATACATACAGAGTTAAAAAAAAAAAGCTCCTATAGGACCACTGTATAAGATTTAGTGACATCTAGTGGTGAAGTTTCAGATTGCAACTAACTGAATACCACTCAATCTTCTAAGAGAAACTATGCTGGTTTGAGTCAAATGTACATGTCAAAGGCCCTGTTTAGAGCCAGTGTTTGATTTGTCTGTTTAGGAGAAACATGGCGGTTCAACATGGCCTCTGTAGAAGAGGACCCGCTCTCTCTCTAGATAAAAACAGCTCCTTCTAAGGTAACAAAACCACAATGATTATTATGTGCAGGTGATTATACACTAATGAAAACATACCTATGAATATTATATTCCCTTTCTGACAATAGATCCTCCTAAATTAAATGTTTTTGGTACCTTAGAATGAGCCGTTATTATCTACAGACACCATGGGTCGACTTCCATGGAGGCTGCCATGTTTCTACAGCAGCCCAGAATGGACAAACCAAACACTCTACAGAGGGCTGTCTGTGTTTTTCGATTCAGCTTAATGCCATTAAATCCTACACACTGGACCTTTAAATATAAATATAAACAAATAATACACAGTTTGAATCCTTAGCAAGAATAAATCAATGTTTGAATTGCATAGCCTGGTTCCAGATGTAGAAACCTCTGATCACATCTCACGTTTTTTTTTTTTTTAGAAATCCAAACACAATAATGAGTTGAATTCAGTATTAATTTCAGGGTAGTTCCTCTCAGCTTTAATGCATCAGTGTAGATAATAGAGATGTTCACTTCCTACTGGATGATGGAAAACATTTAAAAACAAGTGAAGAAAAAGCATGCTCACCTTTAAATCCCTCTTCAGGCATTCTCACTGTGAAGGAAGTAGATGAGAAAACAATATGATCATAATATAGCTTTTTTAAATCATGGTAGTGTAGCAGCCATAGTGGAGGTGAAGATAATTCCACTTACCCTGATAGACATCATCCATTGCAGCATAGTCTGCTATTGGCTCGTCTGCCTTTAAGGAAACAATGGAATTTGGATTAAAATGATAATGTCTGGAATCAAGATGAAAGCAGCAGTGGGTAAGGTGTCTGTGTAGAAAGTAGAAAGTACCTTAAGACAGATGATGCTTTCGGGGATGACACCCAGACTGCCCAGCGTGGCCGAGTCGTCTGTCAGACTTTTTCCATCAATGGAGAGGTTCTGGTCAAACGGAGCCACGGAGAAGGCATGCATAATCTACAGGGTCACAGGCAAAGTTAGTTGAGTGAATACAGACTACTCTTTTCCTATAGAGTAATCACTATCTATCCACAATCTTTTACTATTATTACTATAATCTCTATAGTTCTGGTTAACAGCGTCCAATACATCTGTAGAATTACTGACTGTGACATGTGTAGCCAACATGGAAGTGCCAAAACCTGTAGTTCCTCTACTGGCCACTTGAGGCTGGCTCCAGCAGTGAGTCAATCTCCACAAGGCCCCATATTAAAATGACTACATCCATTTTTAGTTCTATGGTTTATGGACGTGATTCTCAAAGTGTGGGGCGAATAGAGACGTGACAGGTGGGGCGCACCAAACAGGAGGACATTTTCCTTTTTAAGCCTTTATATCTTTATCCAGACATCCCAACTGTCCCGGAAGTTCCGGGAGTCTCCCGCATATTGATAGCGGCTCCTTGACACCCACAAATGAGATCCAATCTCCCGGAATCTGGAGCAAGA